GTCGTAAATTTCGTCTAACAGTTGTGGGGGACAATAAATATAAAATTTCTCAAGAGCAATTTTTGAAGGGGACACAAATAATCCAGCTAAAATTGTACTTGTAAGGATATGTATACACAGAGGAAAGCCTTACTACTATTAGTGCAGCAGGGAGACCGTGCCAAATTAGACAACTTCAAGCTGTTGTGGTCGCGCTGAGACAGCAGTCATGTGCGTTGTAGACATTACTATCCGTCACAGTGTTGCCAAGTCCGCAGTTTTCCCGTGGAATTGGGCTACTTTATCACTGTTGCCGTGGGTTGTTTTTCATGTCCACGGGGTGAAGCATCCCCAATAACGTGTAATTTAGCCCCCGGAACGCGATTTTTACCGGGGGACCCCTTTGAAACGCGGTTAGTTTGGGCTAGTTTTGAGTAGCAATTGGGCGGTTTTTGTTGTGAAAACCTGGCAACCCTTTCAGTCAAGCAGGTAACATTATTATTGCTAACATAGCGGACTCATCAAAAAATACATTGGCATCATCTGTATTAAAGAGAAAATAATCACTTTATCCGATGTTTAAGTGAATAAAATAGCCTTGACAGCCTTACTTACCGGAGTTCCACAACTGTTGACTTCTCTCTCACCGGACTTGTGTGTGTGTAGCCTAGGTGATGTAAAAGAGGAAAGCAGGCATTTGGACCAAAGCACTGTGAGGCAAGGGAGGGGGAGACTCAAAATGTTTATAAACGTAAAACGCATTTTTGCGCCATTCGTGTTGTTTTACTACTTACGCAATTATTTAAAGTATAAAACATTGTTATTTACAATACACAGCGTGGTTTTTACTCATATTTTTAGGGGGGACAACCCTCAGATAGGGAGGGTCCTGTCCCCCCTGACCCCACTGACCCCCCCGGGATTTCCGCCTATGCTCACCCCTATTGACAATGTGTCTAAAATGTAATTATTCACAACTGCACCTTATCTTCATTTTTAGGTAAAAACTTTTATGTAACATTTTTGTCTTTCTACCAGCCAATGATGATTCTGAAAGAAAACAGCAGTGTTTGTTATAGTAACACATGTAACTTTCATGCACATCTGACTGACAGAACCGCGTTTGTATTTCAGTGTTGGTGTTAATGTTACGGTTATTCTAGCAAATAGTTTGCTCCGTAAATTCAGTTCAACAGCATTAAAAATGAGCGTTGTAGCGTATTCTTCAACTTCTCAGGTATGTCAATACGAACCATTTCAGGGGCTGCCAAAATTACATTTTAAAATGCCTTCAGCGTGACCATGCTCTGAATCACGTGTGTAATCAGTCCAATGGATGGGCGAGACGTCACGGGCGGGGTGACGTAGTGACCAGGAAGATTAAAAGCACGTATGGTGGATACAGCGGCAGCTTCTGGGAAATGAAGTAAGCGCTCGCAGGGATGCCAGAAGTATGGCACTGAGACGCAGCTTCTTGTTCCCTCGGGGAACTATGGTTACATGCATGCGTAACCTAGAGACGTTCCCCGTCAGGAACTCGAGCTGCATCAAAACGCTATGGGAACGAGTATGCCCACGCCGCCAGACTTTCAAATCCCTGCCTAGTGTGGAAGAGCACAGCTAGGGCGAGAGAACAGAAGAGCCTGGAGTGGCTCGCATATCTAGGTCATAGAACCTGATGAACGTTAGGGGCGTGGACCAACCCGCAGTGTTGCAGATGTCCTGCATAGAAACACTTGCCAGAAAGGCCTTGGAGGCCGCCACACTTCTGGTAGAGTGAGCCTTGACCCCCAAGGGCGAGGGGAGATAAGAGGACTCATAAGAAATACAAATGGCATCCACTATCCACTAGCTGAGGGTCTGTTTAGTAGCAGGAAGACCTCTCTTGGGGGGACCATAGCACACTAGCAGTTGGTCCGCCCTTCTCCACAGGGCAGCACTGCTCGCACTGGACACATACAGTTAGGCTTCTGCTGGTCAGGCTCCCGAAATGGAGGAGGACAGAAGGCCAGGAGTACGACAGGCCATGGTGTAGAGGAGGGAATTTTAGGTACATAACCCGCTCGAGGGTAGAGAAACGCTTTGGCAAGACCGGGTACAAAGTCTAAATAAGAAGGGGCCACTGAGAGGGCCTGCAGAGCCCCAACTCTCTTAAAAGAAGAAATCGCTAGAAGAAAAGTAGTCTTAATAGTGTTATGATGATCAGATATCTCCTCTATAGGCTCGAAAGGAGGTTTACAGAGAGCCTCTAGCACCACAGCCAGGTCCCATGGGGGGACACAAGATCGTACCGGAGGCCTCAGCCTCAGCGCACCGTGGAGGAAACGTATAACTAGGGGGTGTCTGCCCACTGACTGACCACAAAGAGGGGCGTGGTAGGCTGCAATGAGCCGCGACGTAGACCTTCAAGGTGGAGTGGGTCAACCCTGCACAGAATCGGGCCTGCAGGAACTCCAGCACTGTACCAACTGGGCAGTTAACTGTGTCGAACTGGCGGTCTCCGCACCAAGAAGTGAAATGTTTCCACTTCAAGGCGTACAGTTTCCTCGTAGAGGGAGCTCTGGGCTGGAGGATGGTCTCAACAACCTCGGCTGAGAGACTGGAAGCTAAGAGTTGTGCCCCCTCAGGGGCCACACCCACAACTTCCACAGCTCTGGGCGGGGGTGAACTAAGGTGCCCCCCGCTTGAGAGAGGAGGTCCCTCCTGATGGGAATCTCCCATGGAGAGCCGTCAAGAAGGGACACCAGGTCCGAGAACTCATTCCAGCCAGAACGGGGCCACTAGCAGTAGACGGAACCCGTCCCAGGGTACTATCTTCAGAACTCCCGGGAGAAAGGCGTACAGACGAAGCCTCAGCCAAGTCTGTACCATAGCGTCCAGTCTGAGAGAAGCTGGATGAGTCAGAGAAAACCAGAGGGGACAGTGCGATGTCTCCTGAGTCGCAAACAGGTCCACCTGAGCCTGACCAAAAACTCTCCATATCTGCTTCACCACCATGGAGTGAAGCCTCCATTCCCCGGGCCTCGGCCCCTGCCTCAACAGGATGTCTGCTCCCATATTGAGATGCCCAGGGATGTGAACTGCTCTCAGCGAGAGGACTTTGCCCTGGGACCACACAAGGATCTGGTGCGCCAGCCTGTAGAGGGGGCATGAAATCAGACCTCCCTGGTGGTTGATGTAAGAGACCACCGCTGTGTTGTCGGTGCACACCAACACATGGCGATCTCTTAGGTCTGGGAGAAAGTGTTGTAATGCTAGAAACACGGCCAGCATCTCCAGGCAGTTAATGTGCCACGTGAGATGGCGACCGCTCCACAGACCGCGGGCTGAGCGGCCACTCATGACCACTCCCCAACCGGTGAGGGACGTGTCCTGAAGGGGAACTTTTAAGGCCAAACTAGACCAACATTTTTAATAATTATTCATTGAAAATCTTCACATGAAAGATCAAAATTTCAATCTTTATTAACAAAAAATCTTAAATAGATCATATATTAAAATTTTAATCATTATTCATGGAAAAACTTTTCATGAGACTTCAAGATTGAGATAAATATTCATTGTTAATATTCACCAAAAACAAACAAGTAAGGAAGTAAGAATTAAATAAGAAGTATGTAAGTAAATAAATAAATAAATATTCTCTGAAAATGTCACATTCATTCCATTTGTCTTGACATGCTCATGAGAAATCATACCAGTAGCAATTTTTGATTTGTGAATCTTTTTGATGAATCAGTTTATCCAATTTATAAAACTGTGCTTTTTTTTTTTTTTTTTTTTTT